AGGACCTGAGTCACCAGTGACCTCAACCGGCGCAGTCAAGGGAGGAGGGTCTACCTGAGAAACACCTGAAGGAGCAGGACCGGGAGCGGGGAGGGGGTCTACCTGGGGAGCACCTGGAGCGAGGAAGAGCGGCGGGGGGGGGAGCGAGGCAGTGCGGTAGGGGAAGAGACGGTAAAAGGGAACCGACTCGTCGAACGTGACGTCCTGAGACGCAAAGACACGGCGCGAGGCGGGGTGGTAAAACTGCCAACCAGGCGCGTCAGGGACAAAGCCAAGGAAGACACAGGGAACAGCGCGGGCGGAGAGCTTGTCCGCGGTGGTATCGCGGACAAAGGCACGAGCACCCCAGACCCGGAAACGCGACGCATCGCCAACCTTCCCCGTCCACAGCAGTGTGGGCGAGGTCTCCGGCAAGGAGACACGGGGCCAGAGGTTGAGCTGATGCGCGGCGTACCGGACCGCAAACGGCCACAGAAAATGGGGGGCAGCCGCATGGATCATGGAGGTACGAGCGACCTCCATGACTAAGCCAATGCGGCGCTCAGCAACCCCATTCTGCTGCGGAGAGGCCGGAAGCGTGAACGACTGGGTGATGCCGTGCTCCGCACAGTAGGCTGCCAAGAGGTCAGAGGAGAACTCACCACCTCTGTCAGAGTGCAGACGCAGGACAGGAAAGTCCCGCCGGAACCGCTCGCGGAGCTGGAGACGAACAGCGCGGATCCAGGGGATCAAAACAGTAGGGACATCCGCCTTGCTCCGCAAGGGGAAGACCGTGGTGTAACGCGTGTAGTCGTCGACGACCAGCAGGAAGTACCGCTCGCGGCCCTGTCCCTGGACGCGGGCTGGGCCCCACACGTCCAGGTGGAGCGTCTGCAGTGGAGCCTCTGTGGGAGGAAACGAGGAGGAGTGAGGAGCAGCGCGTTGCCGCCCCTCGACGCAAGGAATGCAGGGCGGCGCAGGCGAGGGAGGGAGGGCAGGCAGAGACCTGGGGAGACCAGAGACCAGGGAGCGAGAGTGCATGCTACGCAGGCGAGGCAAGGAGGGGTGACCAAGGCGGTGGTGCCACAGGAGAGTGTCGTGCGACAAAGCGCGACACTCGCAGGGGGCCGCCAGCTGACCAGACGCAGACGCAGACGCAGACGCAGCTACCTGAGGGGACTCAGTGGTCAGTGTGTACAGACTCGAGCCAGGTGCACGGGTGAACGTGGCCAAGTGCCGGCCCGTCCTAGCACACGTACAGTGAGTCACTCGCTGACTCGCAGGAGTGAACTGGTGAACCCCCCCATCCTGGAGGTCAGCTCCACTCACCAAGTTCGTAGAGAACGAGGGGAGGTAAAGACCTGACAGCGAGCCGGACGGGACGGCCGGACACGGCAGAACCGTGGAATAGTGGGCAAGGACTGGACCCCCAGAGGGGTCCGCCAGGGAGACCGGGACTGGCCGACGGAGCGGCGTGAGTGCGGTGCAGTCGCGAAAGAAGGAGCGGGAAGCTCCTGAGTCAAGGGTGAAGGTGTGTGAGACCGCAGTGGGCGCAGTACCAGAGAGAGCAGACACGGCAGCACCTGAAGCCACGGCCTCACCCGTACCTAGAGCAGTAGACGTACTAGCACCGAGAGCAGCAGCCTCACCAGCACCTAGAGCAGGAGACGCACTAGCACCTAGAGCAGCAGCCTCACCAGGGTCAGGCGGTACGCACAGGCAACAGGCACGGTCAGCACTAGTAGACAATGCATACATGGCAGTGAGAATAGCATCATAGTCAGGCGCAAAGATATCTACCCCCTGTCCATGCAGCTCCAGCCAGGTGGGGAGCTCAGCCTCGTCGCCAAACACTGTGCGCCAGTCGTCGCTCAGACGGGCGAAGCAGCGAGACTGTGTGTGACCAAGCGTCCCACAAGGCTGACCAGTCCTAGCACCTGTGCGAATGACGTACGGGCAGCGAACTGTACGTGTAGACCTGCTACACTGAGCGTACCACTCCTGGAGCTGCCGAGGCGTAAGTGTCTCGCGTGGACGCCCCTGCAGCTGCAGCTGGCCACTGCTAGACGCTCCCAACTGACCAGCCCCAGGGCGACAGCTACTACGGCTACCGCGACAACCCCAGCTAGTATACCACTCACTAAGCTGCTGGGGCGTGAGAGGCTCGCGTGAACGTCGCTGGAGCTGCATCTGACCAGGCGTGGCAGGCAGGCAGGCAAGCAGGCAGGCAGGCAGGCAGGCAGGCAAGCAGACAGGCAGGCAGGCAGGCAGGCAGGCAGGCCGGCAGGCAGGCAGACAGACAGGCAGGCCGGCAGGCAGGCAGGCAGGCCGGCAGGCAGGCAGGCAGGCGCGCAGGCAGGCAGGCCGGCAGGCAGGCAGGCAGCCAGGCAGGCAGGCAGGCAGGCAGGCAGGCCGTCAGGCAGGCAGGCAGTCGCTCACCAAAGGCTGGGAGAGCAGGCGCTCACCGGGCGAGCAGGGCCGGCGCTCGATAGCGGCGACGTCGGGGCCGCAAGACCGGCTGCAGAGCAGGGCCGAAGCAGCTGCAGGGCGGGGCCGCTTCAGCGGCAGTAGCAGGTCGGGGCCGTGGCAGCTGCAGGGCGGGGCCGCATCAGCGGCAGGTCGGGGCCGTGGCAGCTGCAGGGCGGGGCCGCGTCAGCGGCAGGTCGGGGCCGTGGCAGCTGCAGGGCGGGGCCGCATCAGCGGCAGGTCGGGGCCGCGGCAGCTGCAGGGCGGGGCCGCATCAGCGGCAGGTCGGGGCCGAGGCAGAGGGCCGCGCGCGGCTCGGCGCGGGCTGCGCGGACAGCGCCTGGAGCTGCTGCAGGCCGCGCGCGGCCGCGCTAGGTAGTAGCGGGCCGCGCGCGGCTCGGCGCGGGCTGTTGCGGGCCGCGCGCGGGCCGTGCGAGGCAGTAGCAGGCCGCGCGCGGCTCGGCGCGGGCTGCTGCGGGCCGCGCGCGGGCCTCGCGAGGCCGTAGCAGGCCGCGCGCGGCTCGACGCGGGCTGCGTGGGCTCGGCGCGGGCTGCGCGCGGCAGCTGCGAGCTGCGCGCGGCTCGGTGCGGGCTGCGCGCGGCTGCAGCGGGCTGTGCGCGGCTCGGTGCAGGCTGCGCGCGGCTGCAGCGGGCTGCGCGCGGCTCGGTGCGGGCTGCGCGTGGCTGCAGCGGGCTGCGCGCGACTCGGGGCGGGCTGCGCGGTCTCGGTGCGGGCAGCGCGCGGTAGAAGTGTGTTTGCGGGCCTGACAGGCGTGTAGAGGCGGCGCGCGGGCCTTACGGGCCTCTAGGGGCAGCGCACCGGCCTAGGGCAGCACGTCACAAGGCAAGGCAAGGCAGGCAGGCACGTGGGGTAGCGCGGTAACCGCAGCGGTAGGTGGGCCCGAAAAAAAAACGGTCCTACGGACCTAAGTGCTCTGAAACCATGTTAGAATCTAGCAGCAGGAATGATGTGAACTAACAGGATGCAGGAGTACAAGTAGTAAACCCTAATTGGGTTGTACCCCATATGGGCTACCCCACTACAGCCTAGACAATATGCAGCACATATAGTTTGACAGCTACTACGGGGAGGGGAAAGGAAGGAGGGAGGTACACATGACGCCCAACCTCCCAATCGGCCACCTCGCCCCTCGTGCGAACACGCTCGGGTGGCACATCGCTGGCCTTTCACCTCCCAGTTCGAACAAGCCCCTTGTTCGAACAGACGGAGTGTTACAAGCTTCGCCACTATTCGTAGAGACCTTAGCGATGTCGCTAACTCTAAGTTTCGCCAACTCGAACAACGTGGTCACATCAGGCATGTTACAGTCATGTCCGGCATAGGTGTGTGGTCATGCACACACAAGGTGGTTCTAATAATAGATAGGTCATGCAAGATAGATTAATAAAAGCTCTAAGCACAGCACTCCATATACCAATACAATTACACAATTGCATCCCAACCTACCACACTAACCTACTCTGCTAAACAACACAAAGTCAGGAACAATCTGCTAGCTTGGGATAAGCAGATGCATGCAGCTGTGCAGGAGAAGCGTGCTAATGCAACACTTGGCTAGGTCCATCAATTCCGCAATGATGGCAAGGTGAGGTGCCTCAGAATGAGTGAGGCGAGAAGGTAGAAAGCAGCAGAATGAGTATCCCGTTTCCATAATTTCTACAGCACGCAGGGGTTGGTGGCTAGATGGGCTGGCTGGGGTGGCTGGGGTGGAGTGGAGGCTGTTGCTGCAGGAGCTTGGGGTGGAAAGGCGCAAAAGAGCATGCAGGAGAGGGGCTGTTGGTGGTGAGTGGTCACTGACAAGACCCAGAGAGGGAGTGACGTGACAGAAGGTCGGGACACGATGCTTGAGCGAGGCGAGAATGGTTGGGAGAAACCAGGGACGAACGGGCGAGGACGGGCGAAGACAGGCAAGGCACGGTGTCTCTTGAGCCAAAGCCGCTGATCTAGTCGCCAAAGTTGATGCCCTGAGCCAGAGGCAGGTCCGTTCCATAATTGATGGTGCTGCACGTGTGGAGGGAAAGGAGGGTGGGGAGGGGGGAGGAAGTGACAATGGAGAGGGACGGAGAGAGGGAGATGGTGAGGTGGGGGAAGACAGGGAGGGACAATGAAGCGCACAAGTGGTTGTTCAAACGATCTGCAAATGTGTGCCATGCCCGTTTGTGTGTGCACCATGCTCCAGACAGCAGATTCCATTCATATGCACCATGCTGCACAGCATTGCACCAGAAACGTCGATGCTGCGCAATTGGTGTTTTTTCAGTGTGCCGCACACACATGCTCTTCATTGTCCTCCACGAAGCATGGCTTGCAGGCACCAGACAGCTACCTGACAGACACACACCATGTGGCACGCCGCACACACACTCTCACACACACCCGCCTAAACACACACACACGCACGCACGCAGGCACGCACACACGCGGGCACGCACACACACGGGCACGCAAACACGCAGGCACGCACACACACGCCAGCTCAAATGCGCACATCAAGAGGCACGCACACACGCACACACCAAACCCAAAGACGCACCATGTGGCACGGCGCATGTACTGCTTCCACGAGTCGCTGCCCGCCTCCCGTCCACCTCCCGTGGCCTTCTCTCCCCCAAACGCCCCTCCAATCTCAGCTCCGTTGGTGGGAATGTTGGCGTTCACAATGCCACAGTCACTGCCGCTGGGACTGGTGGGAGAGAAGAGGGAGTGATGGGCAGTGTAAAGGGGTGGGGTCAGTTGCAGGTGGGGGTCAGAGGGATGGAAGCAGAGAGGCAGTAAGATGGGCGGATAGGGTTGGGAAACAGATGGATAGAGGCACAAGCACTACCATTTGTGATGAACAGCAATTTATCCATGCTTGCAGGCTCTCATCTCATGCACCGATGCAACCGTGAAGAACAACAAACGGACCCCACACCATCCCTTCCCATCCCCTGTTCTACGGTCCCCCTTAGCCCCCCACACCACGGCCCAGTGCCATTACGCAGCAGCAAGTGGGAGCAGCAGCAGGGCAGCAGCATACCCAGTCCAGCGGAAGATGTTTTCGGGGCTGCGCGTGAAGATGGAGGAGCTCAGGCCCTGTGGCACGCTGTTGTTGATCTCTATCGCCTCGTCCAACGCCTGGTTGGAGGGGTGGAGGGGAGAGGAGGGGAGGGATATGGTGGGGTGTGGCGTGGAGTGGATGTGTGGCTATGGAGGAGCGGAGCACCCAGCAGTGGTTCTGGGACGTGTTTAAAACGCATGGGTGAGCAGATCAGCATGTCGGCAAGTGGGTGAAGGAAGGCAAGAGCGAAAGAGTGGGCAAGGGGGAGAGAGCTATGTGCGCACATATGCACATAGAGCAGCGGAGAAGGGAGGGGGAAAGAGAGAGAGCAGGGAAGGGTGCTGTGCGTGGTGTGTCTTATGGCACTTGTGCACATAGAGCAGCAGGAGAGAGCGAAAGACCAGAGGAGAGAGCCGGGAAACGAGCGGTGTGTAGTGTGGTGTGGTGTGGTGTGGTGTGGTGTGGAGTGGTGTGGTGCGGTGCACGCACCTTGAACTTGTGCACGTAGAGCAGCGGGCCGAAGAGCTCCTCCTGCACGCAGGGCGCGGTGTGCTTGATGGCCACCACCGCTGGGCGCACAAAGTTGCCCCCCGCCAGCCCCACCTCGCCCGCCCCCTCCACGCCCCCCACCAGGAACTCGCCCCCCTGATAGGTGATGCATGGAGGCAGTAGAAAGGGGAAGGGGGGGGGGAAGGGGCAGGGGAAGGGGGAGGGGAAGGGGATGGGAGAGGGAAGGAGGAGGTAAGGGGGAGTGGGAGGAGAGTGATCAGCAGGGACAAGTGTTGATGAAATGGGCAGGGTGATCTGTGCTGGGGTTGCTGGGGACGTTGTGAACAAGGATGTGGGAGTGGGAAGTTGGCAGGTGAGAGAAGGGCGAGTGCAAGGGAAGAGAGGACCGGGAGGGGGACGGGGGAGTGAAGGAGATGAAGGACTAAGCAGCAATCAACAGTTGCACTGGGACGTGAGACAGGAGCAGGAGCAGGGCAGCAGAGGTGGTGATGCTGACCTGTGCAGTGACGTCAGCGAGCCCCTTGAGGAACTGTGCCTTGGCGGCAGGCGTGTGCAGCGGGCCAATGAGCGTGGTGGGCAGCACCGGGTCTCCAATCTTCTCCAACGCCTGGGGGCGAGGGGAGAATGGGGGGGTTTGGGGGAGAGGGGGGAGGGGAGGAGGAAAGGGTGAGCGAGGGGGGGGGACGTGACAGCAGGGGGGAGGAATTGGGGGGGAAAGGGGGGGGGGGGGGGGGGGGTGGGGGGGGGTGGGGGAGGGGGGGGGGGGGGGAGGGGGAAGGGGGGTTTTTTTTGTGAGATGAGAGGGGGGCAGAGGGGCGAAGAATTTGGGAGGGAGTGTTGAGATGGGGAGGTCGTGGGGAAACAAAGGACATGCGAGTTGGCCAAAGAGTGAAGGAGCAGAAACTCGGCAGTAACAAGTCGCCAACAGCAGCAGAATGCACAGAACCCTAAACCCTGAACCATTCGATTCCCCGAATCCAATCCCCAACCCCTCATGGCAGGGTGGAGAGGGGCGAGTGCGAGCGCACCTGCTTGTACGCAGCCGTGAGCAGGCGAACGACCTCGTCATACACGTCCTCGTGAATCAACGGCATGGCGGGAAAGAGGCAGAGGGACAAAGCAGAGGCATGGAGGAAGAAAGTGGTAAATGAAAGCACATGAAAAGGAGCGCGTTTTTTTTTTCTCCTTTATTAGATTAACCACAATATATACGTGCGCAGCCCCTCGAGGCTCTTTGTCTAAGAATGCACAAATCTCACTCCATCTTCGGCGGTTCCTTCTCAGAGCTATCCGCTTGCAGCGCCCAACCAACCCACCACCCACCACGTACACTCCCTTTCCTTCCCACTCATTTTCTCCCTCCCTCCCTCCCTCCCTCCCTCCCTCCCTCCCTCCCCCCCCCCCCTCCCCCCCTCCCTCCCTCCTCCCTCCCTCCCCCCCCCCACCCCCCCCCCCCCCTCCCTCCCTCCCTCCCTCCCTCCCTCCCTCCTCCCTCCCTCCCTCCCTCCTCCCTCCCTCCCTCCCTCCCTCCCTCCCTCCCTCCCTCCTCCCTCCCTCCCTCCCTCCCTCCCTCCCTCCCTCCCTCCCTCCCTCTCTCATCACCCACCAGGCGGCGGCACGTGGTGCAGCGCTGGCCGGCGGTGCCAACAGCAGCGAAGAGCACGGAGCGCACGGCGAGGGCGAGGTCAGCGTCGGGCATGATGACGATGGCGTTGTTGCCGCTCAGCTCCAGCAGACAGTTGCCCCACCGCGCACTCACCTCCGTGCGCACCGCCTGCCCCACCTGCGCACACGGGAGTAGGAGAGGGGTGGCGAGAGGGGTGGCGGCCGGGATGGCGGGCGGGAGTAGGAGAAGGGTGGCGTGGCGAGGAGAGGAACCAGCAAACGGAAGAGCAGGAGAGCAGGAAAGGTCTGTTCACTCTCACCAAGGCACACTTCCTTTTCCTCCTCAAGCCGTTTTGGCTCATCCCCATCCTGGAACCCTAAACCCCGTCCCTGAACACATAACCCAGCCCCACGTCCCCCCACTCCCAGCCCCACGTCCCCCCTCCTCAACGTTAAACCGTCCACGTTTCCCCCCCTTCCCCTTTCCCTTCCCCTTCCCTTTTCCCTTTCTCCCCTCTGCGCCCGCGCGCAAGCGCACCCGTGTGGAGCCGGTGAAGGAGACGAGCGGGATGCGCGGGTCGCGCGCGATGGCCTGGCCGATCTCCGTGCCGCCGCACACGCACGTGAAGATGCCGCCCGGCAGCCCGTTGCGCGCCAGCACGTCCGCGACGATGCGCGTCGTCGCCACCGACACCAGCGACGTCGTCGGCGCGCCCTTCCACACCACCACGTCGCCACACACCAGCGCCAGACACGCGTTCCACCCTGGAGATTGGAGAAGATGGGGGTTGAGAGGGGAGGAGAGGGGAGGGGATGGGTAAGGGCGAAGGGTGTCTATGAGACACGAGAGCCCGTCCACAGCACCTAATGCAAAGCCGCCCAAGGCTAAGGTGACGAGAACAGTTTAAAATGAAGGGGTTTAGGGTTCAAGGATACATGGTCAAGACATGGCTCCCACGCTAACCGCTGCCATGGCAAATAGAGATGCAACACAGAGGTGTAGCGCGAAACATGCGAGGTGTAGGTTAAGATGCAACACAAAGGTGGACCGTGGAACAGTCAAACGAAGCATGCAGGCAGCAGGAAGTGGCACGACGCCCGTAGGTGGGAGAGGCAGCAGCGGCAGCTTACCGAGCACGGCGTTGGGGAAGTTGAAGGCGCTGATGACACCCACCACGCCCAGCGGGTTCCATTGCTGCCCGCCGCGCACCACGTGGACAGCGCGCAGGGGAGATAGGGTGAGGGATGGCGCGGAGGAGAGAGACACGGAGGAGTGAGGGGGGGAGAGGGAGAGAGGGAGGGAAGTAAAAGAAAGGGTGGTGAGAAAGAGGATATGGGCATCACGGAGTGGGGTGCAAAATTGAAACGCAGCGTCATGCGATGTCAGATACGGGATTGTCACAATATGCCAGGAAATGTTGCGCAATGACGCGCAACGTCGCGAAATGCCGCGAAATGTGGCGCAATGTGGCGCAATGTGGCGCAATGTGGCGCAATGTCGCGCAATGTCGCGAAATGTCGCGCAATGTCGCGCAATGTCGCGCAATGTCGCGCAATGTCGCGCAATGTCGCGCAATGTCGCGCAATGTCGCGCAATCGCCACCCAATGTCGCGCAATGTCGCGTAATTTCACGCAATGTCACCCAATGTCGCGCAATCGCCACCCAATGTCGCGCAATCGCCAACACAGCATGGGAATGTAGCGGCACAGCACGGCAGCGGACGTACCTCCATCATGAAGTGGTTGGGACCTGAACCGCACACACGCCCACACACGCACAAGCGGGGAGAGGAGGGAAGCAAGGGAAGGAGGGGAGGGAGGGGAGGGGGAGGGAGGGGCAGGAGACGTGATTCCGAATGCAGAGAAGAGCAGGCGAACTGGCGAACACCATGGGGGGAGAACGGCCAGACACACATTGGACATTGAAATTCGGGACAGCAAGAACAGAAGTCGCGAAGCTCACAAACAAACAATCAAACGACGTACGTTCGGAGGGGATGATGGAGCCGGTGAGCTGGCGGCTGAGGCCGACGGAGAAGTCGCACATGTCGATGAACTCCTGCACCTCGCCGATGCCCTCCGCCAGGATCTTCCCCATCTCCAGCGAGATCAGCGCGCCCAGCGCGTCCCGCTTCGCGCGCAGCCCCTCGCCGATCTGCCGCACGATCTCCCCGCGCTTGGGCGCTGGGGTCTGGCGGCGCGGGACGCAAGGATGGAGAGAAGGGTACGGGAGAACGTGAGAAATAACATGCTTCTGAGAGACAAGGGCCGGAGACGAGCAAGGATAGAGCATGCTCGCCGCCCTGGCAGTACTGTACGTATGTCGTGCATCGCGCCCATTGTGGACTATAATCATATTGACAAAGGCTTGGCCAACATTGAAGTGAAAGTAAACAGGCGGGTGGAAAGGAAAAGTGTGGCGCGTGGTGCAGCAGGCCAAGGGAGACGCAGCAGAGGCCGTGAGATTCGTTCTGAGCTGCTTCAGAGCTGCTTGATAGGTTGCCTGCGCAAAGTACATGCGTGCCTCCTATCAGTGCCAGGACACGTGACGCGACGCCATGCGAGGCAACGCACCTCGCGCCATAGCTTCTGCGCCTCGACAGCAGCCTCCATGCATGTCTCGTACTCGTCAAGAGTGGCTTCGACAACATCCGCTATAGGCTGCAATGCAAAAGGCAAAAAAACAGAAGATAGTTATACGCTGAAACATTAGGTATAGGAGAAAGCTTCCAGGAGCACGAATGAACAGAACTCAGTTGTAGCAAGAAGATATTCCACCATCTGATTATGAAAATACCTTGCCAGTCGCAGGGCTGACCGAGGTAATTTTGTTCCCCTTGCCCATCCATTCGCCCCCTGCCGCCTTGCCGCCATAGGCGCCGAGATTCTCGGCCTGGAGACCGAGCTCCTTGAGGAAAGGATACGCCTCGAGGGCCATGCTTTGCGCGATGATAGGAAAAGCACGCGAGCTAGCTGACAGGCAAACTTTGATGCGAAATACTTGTTTTACGGGCTTGGCCCTTGTGGACAGAGGTGTTGCTACGAAAGATGGAGAGGCAAGAGAGTGAAGAGTAAAGACGAGGGAGTGAGCTGCGGCCATGAAATAACGGATGCTGGTTGGGGATTGGAATCAAGTGCTGCTGCTGGTGTGCGCATGGTGCATGGATGAGATGGGGAGGTTGGCGATGGATTGTTGATTGGAATGTGGCGCGGCGCGCAGCAACATGTGGGGCGTGTGACCGAAGCTGCGAAATTCAAGGCTGGTGGTGAAACCAAGGGCACGTGAAGGTCATGGTAGATATCCCTTTTTGCGACTGGCACTTAGAAGGAAATGGTTGTATCGAGCCTGTTCCGAGTATGTCACGGTTGACAGTTTCAGGGTTGTATGCGTGCTACTTTTGCCACACCTTGTCGGATTTGACGAGGTGATGAAAGTGCTGCTTTCGCTCTGCGAATGTCGGGACGCGAGTGAATATTATTAAAGCACCAGGGGCGACTCGGTGGTTGGCCTTGCTGTGTTCAAGCCAAGATAGCGGGGCAAAGATCATATTGGGGCCGGAAAATAGCAGGGAGGTGTCCAAATTAGGGCCGGGTAAATCCTGACCGTTCGATACATCCCCGTAGCTGCCCATGTGGCTGGGCCGATTACCCGAACCGAGATTCTGAGGAAATTACTAAAATCTTGACGTTTTTCATTCAATATTTTTCTCATACGAAGCTCGCGTCGTATTCCTCTGGAAGTATGTTTCTTCGTGTATATTTTTAAGGTTAAAGGTTAAAGGTTAAAGGAGGGGGGGAAACCCCTCTGGGTGTTAACCACACCTGGCTGTCGGTCGTAACCCGCCTCCCCATTTGTTTACACTCCTCGCTGGGTCAACGAGGTTGTTCTATCCACTCCCAGATGAGCACCTGTGTAACCCCCTTCTGGGGGGCTGGCAGAACACGCCGCAGGGGGGATTTGATCCCGGGACCTCATCTTTCGGAAGTGAACCAGCTAACTAGCTGGGCCACTTCAGGATCGTGTATATTTTTAAGAGACACATCACTCAACGTGACAAAAAAAAAAAACCCACTCGGAAACGGATGCGACTCGGGGAGGCATCAACCCTAAACTCCTTGTGGGTTCCCGTGTTTAGGGTTGATCCCTCCCGAAAAACCGTCCGGGTTCGCTAATGGTTTTAGTTTTTTTATTCCCTAACAGTGCCCGGTAGCGTCGTCTAGTGCTTGGTGGCGCTATCGGCGTAAAGTTTCCTTTCAATCCGTCACGACGCGTAAGAACCTCTGACAAGTAAAAACAATTTCACGATTATGGGAATTCCAGTAATTTACTCTAAATGTCTAGGTTCGACTACCCGGCCCTAATTTGGACACCCCTCTGCTATTTTCCGGCCCCAATATGATCTTTGCCCAAGATAGCGTGGCATTGTGGATGAGAAGGCTGCTGCCAGCATGAGCTGACTGTGAGGGCCGAAGTGCGGTGGCGCCACGCAGGACAATTGACGGCTGACAGTGCAGCAAAGGCATGCGCCGCCGCTCTTCCAACTATGTGGACTTGGCAGTGGGCTAGGGCAATAGCCTTTTCCCCAAGCGCATGCGAAACCCAGTCACCAGCGGTTCGTTGGGAATTTATCTGCCCGCACGCGTTCGATGACTGCTTGGAGCCACAAAAACCGGGACCACTGAAACGCAAGCACGGCACGAAGGGACAGCTTTCAATGTGGTCGAAATTTCTTCCTTCGCTGCAGTCATGACTCGTCATACAGGAAGTGTAAGCAGAAACGAGAACAGTGGCAGAAGCCAAAATACGAGAGGAAACAACAAACCTATCCACTAAGGTTGTGAAATTGGTGGTGGCGGTGTACCCCAACCCCATCCCCCCACCCCTCTTTCCCTATATTTTGTGCTTCATTTTTGGGTTGCGTAGCAACCTTATACATTCGTTTTCACTTTCCGGTTGACTGACGTGAACAGTGATTTTCCCCCATATATTTTGGAAGAACTCACTGTTCACGTCAGTTTCACGAAACGTGAAACCAAATGGACATAACCAATCATTCCATAATCGTCGATAAATACGGCGAATGGAACAATTGGTTGTACCAAAGCAAAAAACGACAACACCCTAAGACACGCAAACAAGGACTAAACAGACACATTACACAATTACCACATACTAAAAAATGTAAAAAAAAACCACATAAAACAAGGGACAACAGTTGTGAATGCTTCGAAGCTCGTTGATGCAACTGCGATTGATCTGGTATGGAAGAGGCAAGCTAAGCTGCCCCACCAACGATCACAACCCCAATTGCATTAACAAGGCACTTAGCACTCACCTCGAAACAGACACACAAAACACTACGTACATATACGCACACACAAATACAGGCTCACACACATACAGGCTCACACACATACAGGCTCACACACATACTGTCAGAATGAGGAATGTATGATGCATTGATGTTGGTTGGGGTACATATAGCTAACCCTAAGTTTTGTACCCCCTAAGACAAACCTCACTATAGGCTACAACATTTGACACACCCCCATAGCCTAAGTGAGGGGTGTCTAGCAGAACCAAACGAGTACGGTCACAAGACCAGTCCAAGAAACGAAGCTCAGGGTGGATCACAACGTCACCACACAGTCTGAGCACAAACAACAGTGGCCACAAGGCCAGTCCAAGAAGTAACAGAGGTATATAGAAAGCAAAGTAAACAGTACACTCAAGCCTAAGCAACACGAGAACCAGTGTCAACAAGGCCTAACTGCACACAGCACCTCTGGTGGTCACAAGGCGGAAGCGCCTTGGTGAAGATGTCTGCAGTGTTGGCCTCGGACTCCACAAACTCAAAGCGAGCCTGTCCACGCCTCTGCAACTCTCGCAGAAGAAAGTACCTGACGTGAATGTGCTTCACTCTGCTCTCCAGTCGTGGCTCTCGACAAAGGAGAATAGACGCCTTGTTGTCAGTGAACAAGGTCGGTGCAGAGCTCGGCCGCTCACCAAGGTCGGTGAGCAAGAAGGTCAACCAACGCAGCTCCTGTGCCGCCATGGCACCAGCGTAGATCTCAGCCTCAGCTGTAGAGGTCGAGACCGAAGAGGAGCGCGTGGACCGCCAGGAAACAGCTCCAGAACCCAGGCTGAAACAGTACCCCTGAGTAGACCTGTGAGTCTCAGCGTCGTCAGCGTAAGAGGAGTCACAGTGACCAGTAAGTACGACAGACTGCTGCCCTCCAAGAACTAGCCCCACGCCTGACGTCGTCGCTAGGTACTTCGCCACCCTCACAGCTGCTGTCCAGTGAACAGGACGGTGTCTCCCTGGCGCAACAAAGCGCGCAAGAACGCTGAGAGGGAAGGCGAGGTCCGGGCGAGTACAAGTCATCAGGTACATGAGGCAACCCACAAGCTCTGCGTAGGGACCACTAGGCTCGAACGGCTCGTCAGGAAAGGGTCCAGTGAGTCTGTGGTCAACAGCAAGAGGTGTGCGCTGTACTGTGGAGTGCTGAAGCCCGAACCGCTGAAGGACCTGCTGCACCATGTGCGACTGTGAAAGTGTAATGGTGCGAGCAGCTCTGTCCCTGGTGATCTGCAGGCCAAGGTAGTGGCGCAGCTCACCAAGATCAGTGCAGGTGTGTCTCTTCTGCAGTTCGGACTTCACGTGTGCCAAAGCAACCCTGTCAGGGGTGGCGAAAACAAGGTCGTCAACGTAGACCAGAACAAAGAAAGGTGTGGGGCCACGACGAACGAACAGCGACGGGTCAGCAGAAGACGGCTGGAACCCAAGGTCAGACAGGGTAGAACGCAGGGTGTCGTGCCACTCACGAGGAGCCTGACGAAGACCGTAAACCGGTCGCCTCAGCCTCCACTGGGTCCCAGGAGGGAAAGAGCCAGTGAAGGCAGAGGGACGACGCAACCAGACCTCCTCGTGAAGACTGCCCTGAAGGAAAGCAGTAGAGAAGTCGAGAGAGTGTAACTCGTAGTCTCTCTGTGCTGCTACGTGTAGTAACACCCGAAGAGTGGTCATCTTCGGGGTGGGCGCGAAGGTCTGAAAGAAGTCAACTCCCTCGCGCTGACTGAAACCTCTAGCCACGTAGCGCGCCTTGAAGACCGGAGGAGATCCCGGTGGCCGCTTCACCCTGTAGATCCACATGCCGTCGACTACGTTCGCCCCCGGAGGGGGAACCTCATCGACGTAGGTGCCTGTGGATCTGTAGGAGGCCATCTCTGCGTCCATGGCAGCTCTCCACTGAGAGGCCCAAGGCCCTGACACTGCCTCAGCGTAAGTGCGAGGAGTCGGAATGTCAAGGGCGTCGGGGTCACCCTCAGGGGCGAGGAGCATGGCACAGAGATGAGGGGAAGCGGCTGCCAGGAACTCTAGCTCAAACTGCCTGTCCTCTAGGGCGTCACAGCCAAGGGCAGACACACCTCCGACGGCCAGAGGACTGGAAGGAGGAGCTGCCACAAGAGCGGTGGCGAAGTCAAGGCGGCGGGTAGAGGCAAACTCAGTGACTGCGGCAGTAAGAGCGGACACAGAGGACACAGAGGCACGAGGGTGGGTAACAAGAGAGGCGAGAACACGAGAGAGAACAGGACGGTACGTGCGGTAGTAGTCAGTGACAGGGGAAGGAAGCGACACAGTGAGGGCCGACTCAGGAGGAGACGGAAGCACAGACGGAGACGGACGAGGTGGACGAGAACAAAGGAAGGCTGTACGAAGGTCAGTGAAGGGAACAGGAGACGAGGGACGAGCACGAGGGGAGCGACGAGAGGCCCAAGTCTGAGAAGGAGGAGGAGACAACGAAGACTGAGAACGAGGGAAAACAGCGGGAGAGGGGTCAGGAGGAGGAAGCGGAGGACCAGAGACGGGAGGAGAGGGGGAGGAGGAAGGAGAGGGAGACGGGAGACCAAGGGTCCGAAGACCCGAGACAGGAGGA